GTAATTCCATATGCCATGGAAGGCACTGTCCTAGGGTTGAAGATAACAACAAAAGGCTACAAAACATTCATCACCGAAAAACTTGCAAAAACCAGAAACATGGTAATTAAATTAAAACGCTTCAGAAACCTGTCGGCAAAAAACAAGTTAAAGTTATATAGAGCCTATAAGTGATCGTGGGCCCTTCGTGCCCGGTTCGCCGTCCAGCTGACAGCGACATTGTTTTCCAGCATAAATAAAATGGTTAATTAATGCCTTCCTAAAGAAACTTTCGACATGGGACCAGGTTTGTTCCACTATTCGAATTTTCCAAAAGTTTGATGAAAAACGATTGTGCCGTTTCGGCTGGCCAGAACACACACACAGACACACGGCTATTCCTATAGTACATTAGATGTCCAATCCCGACTAGTATACCCACCAATTCCCCTACATGCAATAAAACAAACAAACATAAAAAACTTAACCCTAAGGGATGTATACAGATATCCTGACATAGTCACCAACTGTCAACTACACCTACGAGCGCAAATAGAACCCCTAAATGTTTACTTACACAAACACTCAAAAAGAATATGGACAGAGTTAGAAGATATAGAAACAGGACCAATCACAGAATGGATGGAAGAGACAGAAGAAGGAAGAAGAGAACGCTCGTGGTTCCCTCGCAGTAAAAGAAGAGCCCTAGAACCCACACCAACTCCACTCTATTGAAAGATGCAACGTTACCCCAGTGACAACCTTGGTAGCCCTACCACTTGCAACATTAGATCATAAAAAGATGGGATGTTCTTAGCAGAAACACAAGTACTTGCATTTCTGAATCAAATTAAGTCTATATTTTCAGCTACCAACTGCAACTCTGTTAATAAACCGTTTATTATTATTATTATCATTAATATTATTATTAGACTCCCCACCATTGGCTAGGACACAAAACCAGAAAATGTAAGGCATAAAATTGCAACACTTGCTGAACACACAAACACCTGACATAAATATAACACCTAAGACGAAAATTAGCTTAAACACAAACATGAGAAAACAGAAGCACTTGGGTTGAGCCTCAAGACCTAGCATCCTACTACTACTTTCCAATTTCCTCGCCTTTCTTCTTGCACTATCCACCAACCCCAAGTCCCTCCAAATTCCACCATCATTCTTAAAGTCTAGTTCCCACACCACCATCAAGATCTCTTCATACTTTACTTCACCCATCGATTTGATTCGTGAATGTCATTCTACTCAACGCTCTCAAACCAACAAGACTTCTCAGCAAGCTCCTCACCACACAGCAACTCCCTAGCACCGCGCTGTACATACAATATACACCTAGACCCCGACTTACGACGGGGTTAGGGACCCAAATCCAGGTCGTAAGTCCGACATAGATAAAAAAAAAAAAAAAAAAAAAAAAAAAATTTAATAAAAAATCTACAATGAAATACAGTACAGTAAAAGTAATGAATAATGATGAATGGATACAGTACAGTGAAAGTAATAAATAATAAGGAATGGATACAGTGTGACTGAGCACTTAACCTTTAATGTAGTCAGCTGAATGCACATGGGCCCCCCATAATTTTCTAATTATACATGGAGACTACATTAACTGGAAACGTTTCGGTATAGAAAATGCGTGTGTCATTTAAAATTTTTTTTATCCATATCTGAGGCGGTCGTAAGTCCCGACGGTCGTAAGTCCACGTAGTCGTAAGTCGGGGTCTAGGTGTGTGTATATATATATATATATATATATATATATATATATATATATATATATATATATATATATATATATATATATATATATATATATATATATATATATATATATATATATATATATATATATATATATATATATATATATATATATATATATATATATATATATATACAGTGACCCCTCGGTTAACGAACTCAATCCGTTCCAGAAGGTCGTTCGTTAACCGAAAAGTTCGTTAACCGAAACCATTGTTTCAATGGGTTTTTGGGTAATTGGTTCCAGCTCACCAAAAATTTCCTAAATTCAACAAAAATGGTAGAAAAGTTCACTTACTTTGAGGTGTGTATGTAGAAGGCTCCTGGATGATGATGATGATGATGATGGGAATTACAATGGGGGTGGAGGAGAAGGAAGAAGAGAAGGCATTGGGGTGGAAGAGAAGTCACCCCATGGCACCATTTCACCCATAAAATTTTAGTTCTCTTGGTGTATTTCAAGATTATTTTCTTTAAATCAACACTGTACTGCATTATATATTGTCAATATGTAAAATATATTTCAAAATGACCAATAATTTGCTTGGAAACACAGAAAAAAAGCGTTTAGTTGAAGAGAGTCTCAAGCAAGATGTTACCTCCAGTGAAAACAGAGAGACTAACGCCTGTTTGCTGTGTTAAGAGGCTGGATGCTGCGCTTTAAACTAGTCACTTTACCTTCAATTATGTTCAATAATTGTTAAAATGACTAAAAAATTGAATATTAAACTTTTAAAATTATTGAATAGTATAAACTTCTTGATATTTACTAAAATAGTTAGGAATTTAAGCCCTAGAACCGATTAATGTATTGGCGGACTGATACTAAAGCTGGTTGCCCGGCCAGTGCAAGCGAAAACATGTTGAGGTCGGTTCGTAAGAAATTCGTTAACCGAATATATATATATATATATATATATATATATATATATATATATATATATATATATATATATATATATATATATATATATATATATATATATATATATATACGGAGAACGCCATTGTGAGTTTCACTTCTCACCTCCGTCCTTAGTGCGAGATCTACGTGTTCATATGTATGTGAGCCTAACAAAGAGAAAATAGATAAACATTGAGAAATTTGACTACTGGGCACATACAGTACGCTACAATCTCTCAGTTTTCGTGTCGAGTAATTACCTTGATAATCAAGACTGCTCAGATGCTGAACCATAATGCTGATGGCCTCATGGCCCCACCCATAAGCTTACAATCTCTAACATTACAGTGACCTTCAACACCCAAGACCAGGAACACCTCAGGCTCTTCCAAGGACATAAACTTTCCCACAAGTGTGATTTTCATTACGCTATCTCCCTTCTATGGAAGGTCGAGGTGTACACAGCATCTCTCTTTAGACTTATGGTATATGTCATCCATCACCATGTTTTTAAGGCACACGTAAAAAAAAAGTTGACCTATGAAGCATCACTAATAATTACATTTACTGCACATTCTGTACCAAGGTTTTGTAGTGGATTTCTCCCCTACAAACGCTTGTCGCTGAGTAGCCGACCCCACGAATTCCCCAGTGTATGCCTCGTGGTCTAGGTCAACCAGAGCCGCCTTACATGACAGAGGTCAACTATTAAGCCACGCCTCCCTCTGATATATAAGACATGACCTCTCTTTCTACCAACACCAACCAGCAAGCAATACTCCCTCATCCTCCACTCCTGCCTCGCGGCCCTCGCTCCCGCCGGCGAGTATAGCGACCCAAAAGCTGGTCCTCCTCTGAGCACCCTCACCAACCAGCTCTCTCTACATCACGCTTGTAACCACGCTGCCTTCCCAGCACCAAGCTGCATTGTACATCCAATACAATATGTATACAGAGAACACATTGCGAGTTTCCTTCTCCATCCCATCCTGAACGTATTGTAGTGGACTCCTCCCCTACAGTTTCCTCATTAGAGATTCTCAGATTGACCTTCCCATACTGTGGTACTGTACCGTGCATTTCATTGGTTCTAAATACGAGACAAACCAACTTTCTATAGGCTTATGGGCACCTTGCATTTCCTTATTCCATTTTTTTCAAACTTTGCAATTTTTCCACTCATTTTTCATTATAAGTTATAACCATCTTTCATTTCTTTTACCCAAATTTTCACCCCATATGCAATCAGTTCTCCATAAATTTAATGTACATTCCAGATTATGCAAAATTTTCTTTATACTGTACAGTAATCTGCTCCATCCATGCAACAGTTCAACTTCACTAAAACCTTTCACTCTTACTTGGCCGTCTATGTTAGTCCCAATTTAAGGTCTCATTTTGTCCATATATTTAGTTTACTAGAACACTACCGTAGCTTTTCTTCAGGACTCTGGTGTTTACCTTCAACAGTATTACCAGTTTTATGGTTATTTCTAAATTTCTGTCAACTTAGTCATTCTAATGCACAACTCAAGTTTTATCCAGTTAAAATTACTGATAAACCGATAACCCCAATTAAGCATGCCCCCCCCCCCCCACCGATTCAATGGTTGCTTGAAGACAAGACACCATGCTGCGAACTGCTACAAATCACTTTTAGACACCCCAAAATGACACTGGTACAAATTTCAAGCCCAGTTCTGCCATCCTTCACAATTAGGTATCAGTTTTTGAATGGCAAGACAACTGCAAATTTTCCTGGTTAAAAAAAAAAAACCAGTACTGTACATTAGATTCAATAGATGTGGGTCCCATAGGTCTTGTGTAAGCAGTGCTGCCAAGTGCTCACAAACACATTATTAACTCTCCACTACAGGCAAGTCACTTACCAGATTATGGTGCCCTCAAGATTCACCCAACTAACCTTCTCCATTACAGCTACCACCAGTTTTTTATCTCTCTACTTTTTACCTACTGTTCTCAATCCTTTAATTTTAATTACCTTATCAGTGGACTTAACTTGCAAGTGTCCAATTGACTCCTATATTGTTGAGCCAATAGGTCTATTGTAAACTTCCAATCATTATTCCCTCAAGAAATATTCACCTTGTGGGGGTCTTCACTCATGTTAGCCAAAATTGTGTTCAACAAATTTGCTCAAAGGAGAGATCCTTAAATTACCAGATCTGGAACAATTGAGAATTTAAGATTACATTAGAGTATAAATAACCATCAATTTCACAGAAACCAAGACATAACACAATGGCAGAAAAACCACTAATACAAGACTATCCTACTTGTGGACGTTGTAAGTTATGGGGTGAAAAATAAGTAGCATTTCTCCAATTTATTAGAAAATTTTTGTTTAACAGCAACCACAGGCTTATAAAAAAAAATAAAAAATTCAACGGAATTGGGGAAAAAAAAAATTACCAACCAGCAGCTTGCTTACGGGAATGTTTATAGTAGACGCACGCTCCTCATTTTTCTGCGTGCAAGCCAAAAATAAAAATAAAATAAAATACAGCGTATCTGTATTCAGCACAAGTCATTGGGGTGAATGAGAAGTAATTGTTGCAAGATTCTTCACTTCCTGCAGAATTCCAAAAGCAACAGATAAGAGGCCATTTTCAACAAGTCCAATTCAACACAAGTATTTAACAAATATAGCTTTATTATGTTGTCTGCAATACAATAACTGCGTCTACAAATCCTCGTCATCCTCGGGCAGAGCGGTCTGGGAGGCTTCTTGGAGGTCGTTCTCGATTTGTTGCTGCCACTGTGGGTCCATCTGGACCTCTGGGGGGAGGAGTGCTGGCATGGCAACAAACTCCAGGTTGGGGTCACCAATCAGCTTACGTGCGAGCCACAAGAACGGCTTCTCAAAGTTGTAATTTGACTTGGCAGAGATGTCGTAGTACTGGAAAAAATAATAACTTCCAAAACATCTTTGAAGACAATTGTTAAGGCATAACAAATAAAATGTAAATACAGTAAACATGGACACATCACCATAGTGAAGAACTTCCAAGCTTCCAGACATCAATACAATCTAGGATTTCAGTTATTTTTTGAGTCCTTCAGTTAGTGAATTCTTGACAATAATGAGTTTCCAGTACGTATATTCAACTGACCCATCATACCAGTAAGTTCAACCCACTTTTGTCTTTGTTAGAAAACTTTACCACCAACAGGAGTTAACTGGTTAATGATTGCCAAACAAGTTGAAAGGTATCAGTAGCATGAGTTGAAAGGTATCAGTAGCATGAGTTGAAAGGTATCATTAGCATGAGTTGAAAGGTATCAGTAGCATGAGTTGAAAGGTATCAGTAGCATGAGTTGAAAGGTATCAGTAGCATGAGTTGAAAGGTATCAGTAGCATGAGTTGAAAGGTCAGTAGCATGAGTTGAAAGGTATCAGTAGCATGAGTTGAAATCAGTAGCATTCATAGCAGGTATTGAAATCAGTAGCACAGGCAGTAGCATGTTGAAAGGTATCAGTAGCATGTTGAAAGGTATCAGTAGCATTGAAATCAGTAGCATGAGGTATCAGTAGCATGAGTTGAAAGGTATCAGTAGCATGAGTTGAAAGGTATCAGTAGCATGAGTTGAAAGGTATCAGTAGCATGAGTTGAAAGGTATCAGTAGCATGAGTTGAAAGGTATCAGTAGCATGAGTTGAAAGGTATCAGTAGCATGAGTTGAAAGGTATCATTAGCATGAGTTGAAAGGTATCAGTAGCATGAGTTGAAAGGTATCAGTAGCATGAGTTGAAAGGTATCAGTAGCATGAGTTGAAAGGTATCAGTAGCATGAGTTGAAAGGTATCAGTAGCATGAGTTGAAAGGTATCAGTAGCATGAGTTGAAAGGTATCAGTAGCATGAGTTGAAAGGTATCAGTAGCATGAGTTGAAAGGTATCAGTAGCATGAGTTGAAAGGTATCAGTAGCATGAGTTGAAAGGTATCAGTAGCAAATTCGTGGCAATTTTTTCACAATAAAACTGAAAACCACCAAGTCAAAACTTAGGTGTCCACATTGAAGGACCTCAAGTTCCTATAGTAAAAGTACCAATAATATTAAACTTTCCAACCAATTATTGCACTGTTATTCAGCTTAAAGAAACCTCCAGGAGTTAAAGTGCCAAGGCTGTGTAAGAGGGTAGCAGTTCTTGCATGTTTCCTTATTATTTTCACTTCTATAGTACTATACTGTTGACTAATCTACAGGTATTCCAAAAAAATGAGGCAACTTTATCTGCTTCTCTTCCCATACAGGAATACTGTGAACCTTTCGTTACGGCAAGAACGAGTGAATAACAACAGAAGACGATGTTTTTTTTGCATTTCCAGCCAACCTATATTAAACAGGAAAAATAAATCTTCCAAATCCGAAACACCACGGGCTCTAACCTCGCTAAATTAAGAATAATTACAAATCATTATCACTTGCGTACTTATCACTTATCTAAACTGAATCATGGGACAAATATTTTTTAACTTCAGAGTTTTGTAAAGCAGGAACTGTCTGTAATTTTAAGTATAACAGTTTTCAAATGAAGTCAAGAAACCACCATTTTATTTGGCTTAAGTCAGGAGATTTTATTCAGCTCACAAGACAAACCCGCACACAGGGGTTTGGTAGACCGTCTCGCCCAACCCCTTCACTACGGCGAGTTATAATTTATTGAAGTTTTTGAAACGACGGAATTAAATGTTGACGTGAGAAAAGGTTTTAGTGTGAATAAGAAAGATGGATTATGTTCCAGTGGAGAAATAAAATCCCTAACAAAGCAACGAACAAAACCCACACTGGTTTGATGACCCGAGGGCAACTCTACTATAAGGGCAACAAACTCACCTGTAGGTTTTTCTTTCGGTGGAAAATGATAGATTTTGCTTTGACCTTCCGATCTTTAACATCAACCTTGTTTCCACACAAGACAATGGGGATGTTTTCACACACACGCACTAGATCTCTGTGCCAGTTGGGTACATTTTTGTAGGTAACTCTGGAGGTGACATCAAACATAATAATGGCACAGTGAGCCTGGATGTAGTAACCATCACGAAGGCCACCTAATTTTTCTTGACCTGCCGTGTCCCACACATTGAATCTGCAAATATAAAAATATGCATGAAATATTAACTCCTATAGTCAGAGGATATATACACTACAGTATGTACAAAATTATTTTGGTCTGACAATTGTGTACACAGCTACTGTACATACAGCCACAACAAACTAAACCATCCTAATATTTCCTCTAAGCACATTTTATTAAAAGGGCTATTTACACTTTCATTTATTATTTTCAATACAAAACTCTCAGAAACCAAGATATTTTAATACATAAGTAGCAGCACCAGCTATGCTGCCTCCTTGTGTACCAAAGACTTAGTACTGTACAGTGTGCTGTAGCCTGTATCCACGCTGTCCCTAATGGGGAATAATACAGGTCAAGGCAGTAAACTTGTGGAAGGACTTATTACATGCAGCCATACTATGAGTGGACAACAGTACTGTACTAACTTGATAGGTCCTCTGTTAGTATGGAAGACGAGTGGATGGACTTCCACACCCAGCGTAGCAACATATTTCTTCTCGAATTCACCAGTCAAATGCCTCTTAACAAATGTAGTTTTGCCAGTACCGCCATCACCAACCAGCACCAGCTTGAAGGTGGGCATTTCTTGTTCTGCAGCCATGGTGTACGCTGTGACAGTTCTGTGAAGAAGAGCGGTAATGTTAAATCTCCATTACAGTAACCCTCCCAATAACAGATTTCTCATTACTGGATACAGTAAACCCTCCCAATAACAGACTTCTCATTAACAGAATCTGCCCAATAACCAACAGAGCAGTGGACAAAATGAAAATCAAAATAAATTACAATATTTAAATTTTCCATCTGTTCAACCAAAACAACCGACCCCAACCAAAATAAAAGTACAGTACAGTACATCATTATCAGATCGGTTCATAGTATATCGAACAATGACACACTTACAGTCATCACTTCAAGCACAAAAATGGTGGTGGAAGAAAAAGCTCCTTACAGTACAGTTAGAAAATGCCTTCAATACAATATTAGTTGTAAATATATGGTTCACGTGCGGGAGAGTACCAAACTGTTGCTGTAGCTATTAAGGTGGTGCTCCAACAACATGACCACATCCCTCAGTGACCCATCATGTGTAAAGTTGTACAAACTGCCCTTGAAGTTGTAAAAATAAATAAATAAATAAATAAAATAAAGTGCATTAAATTGAAATTAGAGAAGTTGGTCAGGCTGACTGGGTTTGCAAATTGGAGATTACAATCCCACAGTTAAAGCAGAAACTATGAACCAGACCAAACTTAAGTAAGGAGAAGGTAGAGTGGAATAAGCCAGAAGGGATAAACAAACTACAGTAACTAAATAAGGTTTGAATAAATGGTAACACTATACTGTACAGTAACAATGGCCCGGGTTTACCACCAATGGTCCAAATAAAAACAAAAACAAATCTTACCTAAAAAATACCCCATGAATTTGATACTTTTCCTCATCTTGTTACAGGATGTCCCCGACTTACCAACGCCCGCTAATATGAACGACGTTAAACTTGAAATTTACAGTACTGTATTTTACTTACCCGATGACTTATTTTTTACTTTTATTTTCTGTAATTTGTCATTAAATTTCTTCTTGTCTTAAATTAAGTGATTTCAGATGTGCATAAGGTCTTGGGTTATGATTTACAGTCATGGGATTTTAAACATGCTTCTGTAAGTACAGTACACACGTAGCATGTGCTCCGACTTATGTACAACTCGGACCTAAGAACATGCTCGGGAACGGAACCCGTTCGTTACCCAGGGACCACTTGTATAAATAAATACAGTCTCTCCTCGACTTACGACATATTCGACTTGCGACAACCCGGAAATACGACGGCTGTGGTCGTATAAAATATTTTTCACATTACGTATTTTCGAGTCCCAGCGTTAGTGATCGCACTGTGTACTGACAAAATTTTCGTTTGTAATTCCCTTTAATATGGCTGGCAAGCGTAAAAGGGGGAGTTCTCGTGGTGCCGAGAAGAAAAAGAAACACCCATTTTAGATTTTGTGTATTATTTTCGCCTTACGACCTGGTCGTCGGGACAGAACCCCGTCGTAAGTCGCGGAGAGACTGTACTGTGTACGCCTATTTACACGAGCCTGGATTATTTCAGCCAGAAACACACAAACTCTTCCCAGCGACCATTAATTTGTGTGATGTCGTAGATACGAACCAAACAAACCCACCTATGCTACGATGGAAGTACAGTACATTATTTGGTTCCAGCGAACTAGAGAACAGCCATAGTTGATAAAAATTTTCATCACATAATTGAATCCCAAAACTATAAATTTAAGCTAAAAACTATCATCCCATAATAAAAATTAATAGTTTCCCATCCACGTCCTTTCCCAAATATTAACCAATATGCCTACATGACAGACATGGGAACCTCTCTCCATTGCCTACAGCAGGGGTGCTCAAACTTTTTCAACCAAGGACCCCTTATATACCATGACATACAAATATTGTCAATAATCAAAGAATACATCCTAGTCCAAAGCATTTGTTCATTTCAACCCAAATCCAAAATATCCTGCGAATTGGATCCGCCAAATCTCTCACAAACGTTAAACGCAATATTTGTCAAAAACTTTCCGCGGACCCCAGTTTGAGAATCACTGGTCTACACGATGTAAATATCGTTCAAGTGATAATTACGCTAAATGCACGAAGTAAGAAATCTTTTATCATCAATGGAGAAATTAAAAAAAATTGGTGGTGCACCGTGATGAAGCATTAATTAACATTGCTCTCATAAAGACACCTTTCTTACCAGGGGAGACTCTCTCTTCCCTTCCCCAGCAATAATACTGTCATTTGTTTTTTCCATATTACAGCAAAATTCATTTTATGCCATAATGGGGATTTGATAATGGAAATACGTATGTTTTTTATGGCAATATGAATGAATGTCCTTGATTTCCATGGTAACTGCACACACACACATATATATATATATATATATATATATATGTGATACTGTATGGAGAGGAACCTCACAGTGTGGACCTGACTTAGGAAAGTGTAAGTAGCTTACTGTGCCTTAAACAAACAATTACGGAGGAAAATGTAATTCTCGTGTTTATGTCAACTGAATACTGTACTTCTAGATAAAATTTTTGCGTATGCGTAAATCTCCAAAGATCTGAACTGTCCTCTAATTGGTCACAGCAGATCGTGTGAACGTCATGAGCAATTTGAATATAATATCTCACAAAAATGTTACAAAATATTCTTGCATAATTTTTTTCGAGATGGCGTTCAACAGATGTAAACACGTTTGGTTGTGTGTGAAACCAGTTTCACTGCTTCACTTTGTGTGTAAATTACACAAATAAGGTTAGTTTATAGGGTTAAGTCGAGTTTTTAGTTTTACCTCAATTTTTTAACCCCAATGTTCAACTCGCCCCGTTATGACCCAAAACAAATATTTTCTAGAACATAAGGAGTCTGCATTAGGCCGGTTGGCCTGTGCATGGCAGCTCCAGTCGGTTCATCTTGTATCGGGTAATTCCTATAATAAATGAGTGATTTTCACCAAAAAATAAATTTCAGAATCATCTAAAACACACGAAATAAAAAATAGAGAAAAAATAATTTTGTTATAAAAGTTTAAACTAAACTAGGTCTACGTACGAACCTAATCTTACCAAACCTAACAGGCCACACCAAGGAGTGCTAACACACACACAAACGAACGAACAAGAGCAACATTGCCTGTCACCATAACATCAAATTGGGACTTGGAATATTTTTTTGATTATTACAATATATAAACTGCGAATATCGCGTTTATTTTTGTAATGTTCCGCTAAATTCAAGTATATTCTTTTGTTTCTCAAAGAGATCTATTACACGGCAAGAAAATAAGCCATAAAAAGGTGATGAGTAATTAACGAAAAAGACCCACGGCAAAATATCCACTGCCTGTCTTTATCTAAAATTAAACGGTGAGGGTCCGACTAATTACCCAAATGTAGCCAAATATAGCCGGAATGAAGTCAAATAATGGTCCTAGATGAATAAATCCAACTGCTAATCACTTCTCGACTAGTATTTGGTGTCACAAAGTCACAAAAAATTGGTAAACTTAATTTAATCTGAGTTAATAGATCGAGTGCATGTACCTAACCTAACCTCGACTAGTATTTGGTGTCACGAAGTCACAAAAAATTGGTAAACTTAATTTAATCTGAGTTAATAGATCAAGTGCATGTACCTAACCTAACCTAACACAACTCAATTTAAATTAAGTTTACCAATTTTTTTTACTTTATGGCACCAAATAATAATCGAGAAGTGATTCACAGCCCGAATTACGGTTGTAGGACCATCATTTGACATCATTGCGGCTACATTTGGGTAATTCCTCGCTCCCTCGGTATATGCACGCGATCTTTTAACTCAGATTAAAGTTAGTTAACCAATTTTTTGTGACTTTCTGACACCAAATACTAGTCGAGAAGTGATTGGCAGTCCGATTTATTCATCTAAGACCATTATTTGACTTTCTCCCTCTTGAACCATGTTAGTCAAGCATCACCCTCCCCCTTGAACCATGTTAGCCAAGCATCACCCTCCCCCTTGAACCATGTTAGCCAAGCATCACCCTCCCTCTTGAACCATGTTAGCCAAGTATCACCCTCCCTCTTGAACCATGTTAGCCAAGCATCACCCTCCCTCTTGAACCATGTTAGCCAAGCATCACCCTCCCTCTTGAACCATGTTAGCCAAGCATCACCCTCCCTCTTGAACCATATTAGTCACCCTCCCCTTGATGTTAGCCAAGCATCACCTAACCATCATCACCCTCCCTCTTGAACCATGTTAGCCAAGCATCACCCTCCCTTGAACCATGTTAGCCAAGCATCACCCTCCCCTTGAACCATGTTAGTCAAGCATCACCCTCCCTCTTGAACCATGTTAGCCAAGCATCACCCTCCCCCTTGAACCATGTTAGCCAAGCATCACCCTCCCCCTTGAACCATGTTAGCCAAGCATCACCCTCCCCCTTGAACCACCAACTGGACGTTTACCTGGCCTGACCCTCACTAACCAGATACTAATAACTTGGCTCAGACTCTAACGTACTTAACTGCCCAACACCATCGTTAACTGCCAAAAATATATAAAAATACACAATTTCTCTCTTTATCCCTGGCCTGTGTATAGCCAGACCCGGCATTATTATAAATTATCTTAAGAGTAACACGTGGTCTTACCTCTAGTCACCTCAGGGGCACTCACTCTACACCAACTTTATAATTTGCAACACCCTCACAAGGAACTCGACTTAAAAAGTTCATTTTCTGAGCGGGAAAAGAATTGTCTGATGCACGTAAAGCTTGGAGAATATTCATGAATGGTTATTAATGGCTTTGACAGGGTGTGGCACGTATATCAACCTCGTGTCCTCTTATAACTGGTCACTGGAGAAAATGTTTACCACTTGAGGGAGTTTCACCACTACTTGTTCTCTCGACAACACTTCCATTACTCCACAATCGTTCTACATCCAACAAACACAAGTTAAACTGACTGCTAAGAGCGCCAATCGCCATCTTCTTTGTTTGACGGGATTTTCACATTTACCACTATCTTCCGTCTCCTATTATCGGGAAGAGTATACATATTTTCACCATACAAACCTGATAAATAGATAGATCTGGATATTTACTTTTAATTGTAGTGGTTTAAAACTGAAGCACACACCGATGACAGGGTTATAGAAGGATATAATATACCCACCTGGAGGAGCTGTACGGACCAGAATCCCGTCAATGACTCGAGGTGGCGGCCCAGCAAGGCTCAGCTGCCTCCTGATTGGTCCGCCGCCAACTTTGAACCAACATGTCTTTACTCTTATTAACACTCTAATACCTCTTATATAAATAATTCATCAAATTATATATACTGTGAATACTTTATACCTATAACAAAATGCAATTCATAGTTAAATTATATTGCATTGTGAAGAAATACAAGACGGAGATAAATATTTGAATTTCCCGGACTATGACGTCACAAACACTCCTAAGAATTAATGCCAGAATATTTTGAGGATTTATTTTGTATTTACGATTTTTACAGTGAAAAGCCCATAATTGGTCTATATTTATGTGTGTAAATATTAACCTCTTTACGTTTTAATGTGGGAAGTAGCTAGTAAATGAAATGCTATATCAAAATCTAATATTATATAAACCTGAACAGAGGAGAAGGCCTTGACGCACTAAGACCACGTGACGGTATTAGCCCAATACTTTTATTTACTTTTATGTGATTAATAAAGCTACATACAACCTCATTCTTCAAAGATCCTTATACCATTTTATATATAAAAGAGTAGAACACAGCATTGTTTAGGAGTTATGTTATTATTTCACGAGAAAACGCCAACAGTGACTGAAGTATAAAGAAACATAGTGTAAGCATCTGATAAACTGATTATTGGTTACCTTATACGTTTTCCCCGCGACTTCTGGAAAATACTGGGTCTGGGACAACTAGGACTGCCTCACCCCGGGACTCATGTTCTCGGTGACCTACGCATATATGTTTGTTCCTCACTACACGGCGGAGTGACAATGACACGACAAGATCATACAGTTAATACACACATCACGTATACTGTACACACACAGCACATACACATAGAGTATACTGTACACACACAGGACATACACATACCCTGCATACTGTACACAGAGGCCATACACATATACTGTACACACACAGCACATACACATACCCTGCATACTGTACACACACAGCACATACACATTATACTATACACACACACCTAACCAAACCAAACCTAATCCTTGCTACAACGTCTACTTGACCCACCAAAGCACAGGGTGTCGATACTCACCGATAAGTAACGAGACAGACATAGTAGTTTAAATAGGCGTAAGTGTGTAATAATGTGTGCACAATAGTCAAGAGATGATTTAAAATAACCATAGTCCAAGGTGTGTGGAGGGGGGTGGAATAGTGTGGCGTTATGTGGTATAATGTGTTATGTAACGTGGTGTGGTGGGGTGGGGTGTGCTATAGTGCGTCGAAGTGTGGTATATTGTGTTATAGTGTAGCGGGGTGTGATGTGGTATAGTGTGGCGTTGTGATGTGGCTGTGAGGACCCGCCAGCTCACCACATTAAGATGGCCGCTCCAGAATGCTATTGCAAGAGTCATATCGTCCTCAGTGGCGGATCCTGAGGGAAGAGGAGGAGGAGGAAGAGAGGGAAGAGGAGGGGAGGAGGAAGAGAGGGAAGAGGAGGGGAGGAGGAAGAGGAGGGGAGGAGGAAGAGAGGGAAGAGGAGGGGAGGAGGAGGAGGAGTATGGTCTCTCATTGCCTATAACACATTTCCCTCCCTGCCCTCCACCTCACTACAGCATTGATTGGCTATAATATTGTTGTCAGGTTAACACGAGATCTGTGGTACTCAAGATTTCAGGGCGTTCACGACAGGCTATGGAAATTATGGCAAGGGAAAGTCAATGTAAGCCCTGTTATTGTTGTCATGTTTGAGAAGGTTTGACCTGTTTTTGATGAGGTTTGACTCAGCCCTTAAAATTGGCATGACTCAGTACTCGATAGCCTGGGTGGGAGAACGAACTGATCCTGTAATTTCCCAGAACTAGAGGAGAAGGAAGGTAGGATAACATGAAACGTTTGTTTGTAACATAATTATGATCTACGTTCCTCTCCTCCCAGTGCAGGTCTGTTGTGAGGCTGATCTAGTGAGAAGACAAAGTAATGTTCACTTGGTGGATGATGACGATGATGATGATGATGATGATGATGATGATGATGATGATGATGTCACACCAATGAAAGAATAATGTTCTTTTTCATCTACTGATCAGAATCATTTATTTGTCATTATTATTTCATGTTTGAGAGGGAAATATGGCTGGGGGGTCCACGGGAGTTATATAACTACTGCACTGTGGTCTGTACTGTACGGGACATTGTTGTGGTACAGTAGTGGTACAGGGGTGGTTGTGGTACAGTGGTGGTACACGGGTGGTTGTGGTACAGTGGTGGTACAGTAGTGATACAGTGGTGGTTGTGGTACAGTGGTGGTACAGTGGTGATACAGTGGTGGTTGTGGTAGAGTGGTGGTACAGTAGTGGTACAGGGGTGGTTGTGGTACAGTGGTGGTTGTGGTACAGTGGTGGTACAGTGGTGATACAGTGGTGGTTGTGGTAGAGTGGTGGTACAGTAGTGGTACAGGGGTGGTTGTGGTACAGTGGTGGTACAGTGGTGGTTGTGGTACAGTGGTGGGACAGTGGTGGTTGTGGTACAGTGGTACAGGGTGGTTGTGGTACAGTGGTGGTACAGGGGTGGTTTGAGGTGGTGGTGGTGGTAGTGGTGGATAAGGGTGGTTGTGGTACAGTGGTGGTACAGAGGGCAGGGGTGGTTGTGGTACAGTGGAGGTTGGTGTGGTGACAGTGGTGGTGGGTGGACAGTGGGGGTTGTGGTAGGTGGGTACAGTGGTGGTAGATGGGGTGGTGCAGTGGGTGTGTGGTTGTGGGTGTACAGTGGTACAGGTGGTTGTGGGTAGAGTGGGCAGTAGTGGTACAGGGGTGTGGGTACAGTGGTGCAGTACAGGTGGTGGGAGAGTGGTGGTACAGGGGTGGTTGTGGTACAGGGTGGTGTGGTACAGTGGTGGTACAGGGGTGTGGCAGGGGGTACAGTGGTGGTACAGGGTGGTTGTGGTACAGGTGGTACAGGGTGGTTGTGGGCTGGTGGTACAGTAGGGTACAGGGGTGGTTGGGACAGAGGTGGTGTACAGTAGTGGTAGGGTGGTGTGGCAGAGTGGTGGTACAGGGTGGTGTGGTAGGTGGTGTGCGTATGGGTACAGTGGTGGTTGTGGGGTGGAGTAGTGGTACAGGGTGGGTGTGGTAGAGTGGTGTTGTGGTACAGTGGGTGGTGTGTGGTACAGTGGTGGTTGTAGAGTGGTGGACAGTGGGTGGTACAGGGGTGGTTGTAGAGTGGGGGTACAGTGGTGGTACAGTGGTGGTTGTGGTAGAGTGGTGAAGTAGTGTACAGGGGTGGATGGGGGCAGGTGGTACAGTGGTGGCTGGGAAGGTACAGTAGTGGTACAGGGTGGTTGTGGTACAGTGGGTGGTGCCAGGGGTGGTTGTGGTACAGTGGTGGTACAGTAGTGGTACAGGGGTGTGTAGAGTGGGTAGTGGTACAGGGGGTGGTTGTGGGTAACAGGTGTCATGGTGGTACAGGGGTGGTTGTGGTAGAGGTGGTACAGGGGGTGGTGTGGTAGGGGTGGTACAGGGGTGGTTGTGGTAGAGGTGGGGCAGTGGTTGGGTGTGTGGGCAGTGGTGGTACAGGGTGGGTTGTGGAGATGGTGGTGCAGTAGGTAGCAGTGGTGGTTGTGGAAGGGTGGTACAGTAGTGGTACAGGGGTGGGTTGGGTACAGTGGTGGTGACAGGTGGTCAGGGTGGTTGTGGTACAGTGTGGTACAGTGGTGGTACAGTGGTGGTAGGAGTGGTGGGTACAGTGGTGGTACAGGGGTGGTAGAGGGTGGTACAGTGGTGGTTGTGGTGTGTGTGGTGGTGCAGTGGTGGTACAGTGGGTGGTACAGGGTGGTTGTGTAGTGGTGGCAGGGTGTGGTGCAGGGGTGGCTGTGTGGTAGGCAGGTGAGTGGTGGTACAGGTGGTTGTGGTAGAGCAGGTCAGTGTGGTACAGGGTGGTTGTGGTACAGTGGTGGTACAGGGGTGGTTGTGGGCAGTGGTGGTACAGTGGGGTACAGGGTGGTTGTGGTGCAGAGTGTGGTACAGGGTGGTAGGTACAGTGGTGGTACAGGGTCAGGGGTGGTTGTGGTAAGGGGCAGTAGTGGTACAGGGGTGGTTGTGGTAGAGTGGTGGTACAGTAGTGGTACAGGGGTGGTTGTGGTACAGGTGCAGTGTGGTACAGGGGTGGTTAGGGTACAGTGGTACAGGGACAGTGGTGTGGTACAGGTAGGTGCAGTGGTGGTTGTGGTACAGTGGTGGTACAGTGGTGGTTGTGTGGGCAGTGGTGGTACAGGGGTGGCAGTGGTGGTACAGTGGGGTGGTTGTGGTACAGGGTGGTGGGGTGTGGGGTACAGTGGTGTGGGTGGCAGGGGTGGTTGTCGGGTGGTACAGGTGGTACAGGGTGGTTGTGTACAGTGGTGGTGGTGAGTAGTGGTACAGGGTGGTTGGTACAGTGGTGGTCAGGGGGTTGTGGGTAGAGTGGTGGGTACAGGGGTGGTTGTGGTACAGTGGTGGTACAGGGTGGTTGTGGTGGAGTGGTGGTACAGTGGTGGTACAGGGTGGTTGTGGTACAGTGTGGTACAGAGTTGGTACAGGTTGGTTGTGGTACAGGAGTGGTTTGGTGGTACAGTGGTGGTGCAGTGGTGGTGCAGAGTTGGTTGTGGTGCAGTGGTGCAGGAGTTGGTTTTTGGTGCAGTGTTGGTGCAGTGGTGGTACAGGGTTGGTTGTGGTGGGTGGTGGTGCAGTGGT